CAAAGGCATTTGACTGTGTAGATCACAACAGATTGTGGTTAACCTTGAGGAGAATGGGAATCACAGAACACTTGAATGTGTTTATGTAAAACCTATACTTGGACAAGGATGCAGTCTTCAGAACAGAGCAGAGAAACAGTGCATGGTTCAAAACAAGGTTAGAGAGTGCATCAGGGATGTGTCCTGTCTCTGTAGCTTTTCAACCCATATGTAGAATAGATCATTCAGGAAGCAGGGCTTTATGAAGAGAAATGTGACATCAGAATTATAGGAAGATTCATCAACAACCTACGTTATGCAGATGTTAGAACCTTGCTTGCTGAAACTGAAGAAGACCTAAAGTGCTTGCTGAAGAAGGTCAAGGATTATAGCCTTCAATATGGATTGAAGCTGAATTTAAAGAAGACAAAGATTCTCACCACTGAGCCAATTGGCTGCACCATGATGGGTGGAGAAGAGATTGAGGTTGTTAACAGTTATAGTTTGCTCAGCTCCTCAATCAACACTTTTGGCACCAGCAATCAGGAAATAAAAAATTGAATCACATTAGGTAAATCTGCTGTCAGTGACCTTTCCAGAATAATGAGTAGCAATGATGTCAGTCTAGAGACTAAGGTGCATCTGATCTGGTCCATAGTCTTTGTAATTACTTGCTATGCATCAGAGAACTGGTTAATGACAAAGGAGGATAGAAGAAGAATTGATGCCTTTAAATTGTGATGCTGGAGAAGTGTCTTGAACATGCCTTAGACCACAAAGACAACAAATAGGTCTGTCTTAGAGAAGGTGAAACCAAGTTTTTTCTTGGAGGCTATGATTTTAAAGCTCCGTTTCATATACTTTGGGCATGTAGCCAGAAGGACCGATCCTTGGAGAAGAACATCATGCTTGGAAGTGTGGAGGGACAGCACAAGAGAGGAAGATGCTGGATGAGATGGAGTGATATAGTAAATATTTGGTAGGTGTGTCAGTGTCACTGAGATTGGCTCAAGACATGACAGGCATCAGAGCTATTGTACATAGGGTTGCTATTAATCGCAGGTGACCTGATGGCACATAACAACAACAATCACCTTTGTTATGAGTGGTATATGAGCTCTTAGATGTGATCTCTAAATCATTACCAAATCTGGATGAAAGTAATGATTGGTGACTGAAACTGTCAACAGCTTCATCTTCGTTGGATCCACAATTAACAGCATTGGTGCAAGCATTCAAGAAAGAAGGAGTTGCATTGCACTGGAAAATCTGCAGTTAGATACCTTTCCAAATTATTGAGCAGGAGCAGTGATGTCAGTTTGAGGATTAAGGTGCATTTGATTCAGGCCATGGTCTTTCCAAGCACTAGCTATGCATCCAAGACCTGGACAATGAATAAGGATGACAGGAAAAGAATTGATGACTTTGAGCTGTGGTGTTGGAGAAGAGCACTGAACATCCATGGACAGCCAAGAAAATGAATAGATGTATCTTGGAGAAGGTGCAGCCAGAGTGTTCATTGGAGACAAGAATGATGAGGTTTGGCTTTGCCTCTCATACTTTGAACATGGTGCTATTCCTTGGAGAGGGACATAATTTTGGGAAGGGTGGAGGGTTGGAGAGGGAGAGGAAAACCCTCTACCAGGTGGATTGACAAGGTGACTGCTGCAGTGGGCTCTTGTGTGTCAGGAAGTGTGAAGATGGTGCAGGACAGAACTAGATTCAGATCTTTTGTTCATAGAGTCACTCTGAGTCATATTCGACTCGATGGCACCTATCAACAACAACAACATTGAGATTGTGTTGAGCATGTAGATTGCTTTTGGTAGGATTGTTATTTTCACAATATTGGGTCTTCCTATCCATGAATAGGCACATTTTTTCCATTTCTTTAGGTCTTTTATTGTGTCTTGCAGAAATGTTCTTTAGTTTTCTTTATATAGATCTTTTGTATCTCTAGTTAGTTTCACTCCCAAGTATGTCAGTTTGTGGTTGGCTATTGTAAATGGTATTGCTTTCTTGGATTCCTTTTCTGAGTTCTCTTTGCAACTATAGAGGAATTCTACTGATTTTTGGATACTGATCTTATATCTTACCTCTCTAGTAAATTGATCTACTAGCTCTAACAGTTTTGTTGTTGTTTTGTATTTGTTTGGGGTTTTTTTTTAGTCCTAGAAACAACTTTCTTGAGTGATAAAGAAAATTATCTGAAACATAATAGAAAAAAAAAATCTCTTCTTTTAGTCAGCTTTGTTTTCTCTAAACTCACCTCCCAACTCCAGCAGGACGCCGTCTTGGCAGATGTGAATCATGGGATTCTTTTTTTTTCAAAGACACCATGACTTAAATGTAAGGTCCAGTTAAAAGGTCCGGTTAATCTAGAACGTGAAGGAGATCAAAGCTATGCTAGTGTCTGCTGGAATTTTGTTGCCCTATCAAGTGCAGCACTGACAAAGAAGTATCCTCCTGACTCGTGGTACCAGAGTTACAGGCAGCTGTTGAGTCTTTGAAATTGTGGTAGAATTTTTCCAAACTGCCAAAAGTTTCTGTTCATGACAATGTCTCAAACAACTATGACATTGGGATTTTTTTTTCACCTCAGGCTCTAAAATCGGTATTGAAAATTTACTACAACCTGAAGTAAGAGACTTCTGGGAGAAATTAGGAAGCTATGTGGCCACAGAAGACGAAGGGGGTCACGTGGACCTCTTTGTACCACTTGCAGCATCAGGTCAGTTTTGGAAGCATGCTGAAGATACTGATCATACCCACTTTCTGCTTGGACTGTGTGAATTTGATGAATGCCCTCAGATCAAATGACTCAGGCACATTCTATTCTTTATTTCTTTCTCTTTATTCCCCACAGACCTGGACATTTAGGGCAAGAGGAGGGTGAGAGTTGCTCTGAGTATATAGTCGGCCTGTAGATAGAGTCATTAATTGCACCAGCCAGCAGTGTTATTTGTTTATTCTGGAAAACACTGTAAATGAAGCATCTCTGTATGAAGGAAAGTGATTTATCAGCACAGGAATTATAATCTATCAGTCTGAAGAAATATTTGCTTCCTGTGACAATGATAGTGCTCTACACTTTGGCTGTGTTGCAAAGCTCTGTACAAATGACTTTTTTTGCTTCTGCAAGTTTGTGCACCTCTATTTTCTCACCTGATAATGAGGATAATAGTACTTTATCTTGCTACACACTATCCTTCCTTCTAAGGTGTACTGTGGCTGTACTTTTTCCAAGACAGGTTTGTTTGTTCTATTAACAGCCCATGCTGTATTATATATTCTTATCCAAGCAGATTTTTAAACTAGAGTAGAGGATTAAAACAAAATAGAAAGGTTATGAGAAAGTGAAGAAAAGCAGAGAAAATAAGAATGAAAAGTGGGGAAAAAACCCTAGTGGATTTATTGACAAAAATTGTTCAAACAAAACGTAATGACATTCAGATGATGAGTTTCTTAACAGTGTTCTGGGCCTTAAAACTGTCCCTGAAATCATTATCAAATGCAATATCTACTTACATGGACTATCAAAGATCCTGGTTTCTCGGTCCAAAATCTTTTCAAATTATCCCATTGTAGGTACTATGCTGGTGGTCATTGAAATTGTCACTTCTAGTAACTGTATCCCCACTGAAGTCTGATGTCAGGCTTTATCTGAGAACCACTTCAAATAATTTATTTCACTTACTCAAGTATTCCTGCTCCGATGCTGCTTTTCCTGAGGAGCTTCAATCCACACACTCCTACATTTCACTTTCTGTCACCATCTCCCCATTCTTATTTCTATCCTTGTCAAACTAGGGGTTAATGGTCTATCATTATAATCATTCTCTTGCCAAGAATGTTAGTGTCTTTGTCTGAGCCTTAGCATTTTAGGGGTAAACTGGTTTTGGACTTCTCTTTGGAGGGATTTTAACTGAGCAAAAGAACTTTTAGTATCTTTTCTTCTCCGGTTTATTCATCTTGTTGTGTGTTTTCTAGTTGGAATTGACTAATAGCTGACCCTACAACAGGTTTTCAGAGGCAATAAATTGCACAGGAGGAGATTACTCAACTTTCTCCTGCAAAGCAGCTGGTAGATTCAAACCTCATGCCTTTGAGATAGCAGCACAGCATCTTACCACTAAGCCACCAGAGATCCGTTTAGTCATGCCCTTAATTAATATTGTGAGGTCCAGTGACCTACAAGTAAGGAATTGTGCTACCAATCCAAAGGCAGCCAGTTTGAATCTATCAACCGCTCCAAGAAAAAGAGGTGAACAATGTCCCATGTGATCCATAGCCTCTGAAAACCAGCTGGAGAGTCAGCTATGAGTCAGTTCTATCTCAATGGCACATAACAACAAACTAATATTAAACAATTCCACAGCAAACTCTGTGAATACACTAATGAAAGCCTTTTTCTTGTGTAGAGGAAGGAATAGATGTTCTTTCTCAAATGTCTCAACTAACTGGCACATTGTTTACTGCTCCTTCTGGAATCGCAACTGGATCCTACCAACACAGTAAGTAGCCATGGGAGCTGAACACCATACCCACCCAGTAGCATATACTCACTTTGGGTTAGTTGGCAGTGGGGGGGGCGGGGGGGATTCTTAGTTGTGCTGCTGCTATGCTACATGTTACAGGTACGCTACGTGTTAGTGGCTTTACAAATAGAATTTTATCATAGTTTCAGAAGCTGAAAGTCTGAGTTCAGGTTCTAATTGTAGGCAGAGGTCTTCTATGTCTGCTTTGAGGGAAAGTCTGTGTTGATTTCTCCATCCAGCTATCCTTGCAGTTCCCAAGTTTATTGACTGGCCTGCCTCCATCGTCTTTAGGTATAATAGTCTTCCACTAGTATCTGCTGCCTTCTATTCCTAATCAATACTTTATTATTAAAGATGGATAGATTTAAATTACTTATTATTTTGATAAAATATTCTACAGAATAGTCCCGAAAGGTAAAGTAGAAGTGAGGGAAGAACGCATACAGAATTTCAAAACTTCAGACTCTCTACATGGAATCCAGACTCTTTGAATCTGTTGATGTTTGACTCCTCCCCAGAACTATTGCCCTGAGATAAACTTTAACTCTTAAAATGTAAATGAAAATATTCTTCTGCCGTCTTCTTTGCCTCTAGATTTCTAATGAAGGCTTGCGATACAGTCTGGCTTCAGTACCATGGCCTGGTCTTTAACAATGCTTTGTGCCAGGTTCGCCAAAGCATCTCTCCATCCTGGTATCCTGTGAAAGTCTGTTATTTTCTGAGTAGATGTTCTCTTAGAATATTGTCTTAAAAATCAGATTGTGTCTTCTATAGTGAAAGCACTTTTATGTTTTCTAATTTAAAAAGTAATATTTTTTAATAGATAACTGTGCAATAAAGCTGAAGAAGGATGTGTGGCTTTTGCAAACACTTTAACAGCTGATAAAATTTGACATTTATAAGATTAGTATATTGTACTGGTACAAAATAGTTTTAAATATTTTTTATAATTATATTTATATTCTTTAAAATTTACTAGTAATATCAATGAAAATTTACAGAGACTTTGGGATTCCATTCATTCATATTTGCACTTTCCCCCCTCCCAACCATCCCCCCTAGTACAGCATTCTCTTGGAAGAGTAAAAGAAAAACTCTTTCATTGCTCTATAAACTCTCCTCCAGGTCCATTACACTATGCAGCCTTCATTCTGGACTCCTGTCATGACAAAAGTACCTAGTAATTTTCCCTCTTAAACAGTTTTCTCCCTCATCTGTTTCAATGCATTATACATTATTGAACCCATCTTTCTCAGTCTCCCCCCAACCCTGATGTCAGTCCTGTTTTATAACAGTGGCACTATGCTATATTTGTCCTTTTGTGACTGAGATGCTTCACTCAGAATAATGTCCTCCAGAGTCACCCATTTTGAATAATATTGCATGAGTTCCT